TTTGGACTTGCTAATGGCCAGTCGCAAGATCTTCCTAGATTCCCTATATTTTTGGCTGGCGGTTAAAATACGGTCAGCGTTTTTCTTTTTCCTGGCTCGAGTAAGGGCACGCCTGTCGCCAATAGTTGTTCTTCTTAAATTATTAATATCCTCTGTCCACCAATAACAGCGCCTTCTCTTGCTCCTGCTCGAACGAGGTGTAGACACAGAACACGCATCAGCCATGGTTTGGCTAATCCAGTCGACGATGGGATTAACCGTATCACCATCCAAAACATCCGACGAGTTAAAGTCACAATACCATTCCAGGCATTCGATAAAAAGTGATCTGTCCATTTTTCTAAAGTTCCATCTGTTAGAAGGAAATTTAAGTGGTGGCTGAGTGTTGTTTCGATCTAAATATGTGAAGGTGATGTAGACATAATCAGATAGTAATTCCATGTCACCTCTAACCTTCCAATCACAAATATTCCTGAACATATCGTGAGAGGCCCAGGTGAGGTCAACGATTGATGAACCCTGCAGACGAACACAGGTAGGCGAATCACCTATATTTACTAAGGATAAGCCATTAGATGATGCCAGAAGGTCAATTAGCCGGCCTCTCTTATCGGTTGTTTTGAATCCCCACAGGTGAGATTTAGCGTTAAAATCGCCACATATTACAATCCTGGAGCGTACTTGCTTAATTACTCCGTCAAGGTCGTCAATAAAAGCATCAAAATCTGCCATTGAGCTATTTGGCGAAATATAGCAGGATACGACGTAAAAATCTGAATATTTGATGGCAATTATGTTGTCCAAGCTTTTATATAACTCGCTTTTAATATTGTTGCCCAGTATCATAACGACAGCCAAACCGTCTCTGCTATAGTAGCAGTCCGTAGGTATATTAGCTCCATAAGGAGGTTCGGAGATTGTAACTAGGTTAATCTCTAGCTCAAGCGATTGTTGGCGCAGCAAATCAAAGGCCGGCCACGACCTATTTAGATTGCACTGCAGTACTTTAATTGCCATAGTTAGAAGGGCGCACAGACTGTTTTTGATCGGCACGTTTTATAGTGTCATAACCATTGTTGACCAGACAAGCATACGAGCCAATACGATGGTTGCTATTTTTCCCTATATCTGCACATATAACACAGTGCGGAGCAGAGGAACAATCTTTCGCCTTATGATCCCTGTCTCCACATCTAAAACAGGAACCAAACCTGTCCTCAGGGGCCGCACAGTTGGTTCTGACGTGCCCAAAATGCCAGCACTTAAAACATTGCACTGGTCGCTTTTTAAGGAATTCTACCTTTGCCAACGTCCAGCCAATGGAGAGGCGACTAGCTTCAGCAATCGTTATTGCTGCATTAAGAGGGCAATGCACCCATGTAATGCCCATTCCGTCGCGCATTTTCTTAATATCAGCAATACTAAATGCAGTAGGGGAAAAATCACTGACACGCACCAACTGTTCTCTGATCTCCTCCACAGTCGTGGAGGGAGTAAGTCCTGTGATTTTTAACTCTCCTCGAGCTACAGGATTGTCCACCTTTGCGACATCTCGGAGAATCACTTCCAGCTGATCTTTGAGTTTAGCTGCGAGTTCAGCTCCTCCCTCACCGGGCACCTCTATCTTATAGCCCCCGTTAAAGGCTGGACGAATCCTGGTTTCACGTATGCCTAGGACCTCCAAGGAGATATTTTACCTAGCCGTGCGAAGGATGTCAGAATAAGACATATCAGATCCGGCCTTTCCAGTAACGGTGACCACAGCCACCTTGCGTCTGCCGATCCTGGGTTTAGTAAACGAGGGTCTGACGTCTCCCTCGTACCATCGGTTATCAGCCACAGCGTCACGAGAGCTTCTAGAGCCCCGGCGCGAGGCAGATGATAAAGGGAGGGGTGGGAAATCCTCTCCTCCTCTCGCCACTGATGTCGTTTTCAACGAGGTGGGTCTACTATTCACCACTCTGGGGGGAACAACCTGTCTGTTCTCCACTATTCTAATTGCCTTTGGACGAGGGCTTTTTAGCGGCGGTCGAAAGTCCCTAGTCTCCTTAGGAACCCTATTTGCGCTCGTATTGGAGAACACTCTAGACGCGATGAAAGATGCACCTTTAAGGTTCGCCGACGGAGGTGGACTCCATGGCGAACCAGCCGACTCAGAGGCCCAATCACTCGCCCTACTCGCAGCCCTCGACTCTCGACGAGCACCAATTACGGGAGACAGAGCGACAGAGGACTCAATGTCTCTTTGTTCCTCCACAGGCAACCTAGCTTTAGATACCTTTTGAGGTTTTAGGGCTTCACTACGCTCTTCCCTAATTTGTTTCATCTCTTTCTGCATTGCCTCCATTGCACTTTGCAGGCTAGTTAATTTCTTCTGCGTGTTTTCCTCACGCTTGCGAATCTCGTTGATCTCCTCCTCTAGTTCCTGGTTCCGTTTTCTCAGATGTACTATATCACCTTGTTCCTGTGTCTTTTCACTGTATGCACGGACGACATCTTCTAGTTGTACCATATATTTCCTCCAACGACCATTGTATTGACCAGAGAGATTCTTACTATTGGTCCGCAAAATGTCCGTTTGCTTGACCAATGACAGACCATAAGAGGCAACCTCAGCATTGCTCATGCGTAACAACTCCTCCTTACTGATCCTGTTGGAGACATCAGAATCACACGAGATAGCTGAGACAGAAACATCCAGATCAGGCTCATAGCCTGTTCTTCTCCTCAGTCTCGACTTCGCAGACGGAGAATTCTTTTTCTTGGATCTTGACGTCTTCTTAGAGGTCTCAACGCTCCGCTCGTCAGACAGATCAGATGCAGCCTCATCTGCAGCATCATCATCTGAAATTACTACAGGACTAGATCTAGTTGAGACATCTTTATCCTCCGCAGCAGCAATTCTTCCACTGCGTCTTACTTTATTGTTACTTTTATATCTGCGAAGAACCCTAACTCTACCATAGGAAGGGGAGCTCAATATTCGCTCTTTACTTGGGCCAGCAATAGGCTCAGCATTTTCTGTTGCTTCTTCAGCAGAGTCCTGCTCGTCAGAGCTGTTAATTACGCGCACCTTACGATTCCTACTAGCTGGGATGATCATGTCATTCTCCGGAGATTCATCAGCCTTGCGCTTGGCTGTTTGTTCTGCAGGTGTTACGTCTCCAATAAACTCGACAGAAGGCGTATTCGAGCTAACTCTACCAACTTCAGGCGGACCTCCTATTGGCTCACTGCATTCAGGCAAGTTACTCGGCGCCTCACTGTCTGCCATAATAGTCTCCACTTGTTCGCAGACCATCTCACAAGGTCCACTATTATCCGCGGTAGCCATATTGGCCTGCTCGCCCGACGGCAACGAACAGGTCAGCCCCTCGATTGATGACGACATGACAGAGCCGGGGACAACAACTCCATCATGCCGATCGCTGGAGGCTCCGATAACCTCCTGCGACAATAAATCTAAATCTTTATCAGTTGTACTAGCTATGTTTGTATATAAAGAGTTTGGTTTTTCCAAGAGTGTCCTTCCCTTATGATCATTGTCCATAGATTTGCCGGGTTGTCTTAAATTAGATCCATCCAGAGTGTTCTTGCCATCAGAACTAGTTATAGAGCACGAAATCGAGAGAAAATCTTCACCTAATTTCTCTAACTCAGTCTTCCTATTGTTTATCGACTGACCAATAAGAATTAAAGCATCCTCAGTTCTATCCATCTCCAACATTCTCCCAATGTCAGTAAGTTGCGACTCCATAGCCTCCACAATTGAGTGATTCCCAGAAGCCGCTCCATACGATCCAGATGAGTTGTTGATTAACCTACTTAGGTTTATTTCTATTTTTTCAGTAGTCGGCGGAGAATTAACTCTTACAATGCTATCCACATTTATATCCTTAATAAGGGATTCATATCTTGCAATCTTGCCCATCAAATAAGATCGAGCACAAAACATCTTATGACCTTGATTGTAGATACTCTTAATGCAGGCTTCCACATTGTTCAGTTCTTCATAAAGTTCTGTCCGATTTGGTAAGTTAATGTTACGCAACCTAATAATTGAGTTTATTGCACATCCCAGGATCATAGTGGGTGTGAGTTGAGCTTCATGCATTTGCGCTATTATTTTATCAACTGACTCCATATTGTTTATAGACATACGAACATTTATAATTAGTAAATCAGATTCAATACATTATGTTTAACAAACAGCATAGCAAGTACTACAGAGATTCCCTTAATGTTGCTTAAACAACATCAGGGATCCGCGCAGTATTATCAACACAATAGTTTTGATATATAGGGAATTAATGTTTATTTATTTATTTATTAAGGCGCGAGGAAAATAGCCATCTACCATTCCTCAAAGTTAATTGAGGAGGAGAAGCCACAGCAGTCACGCCGTTAATATTTAATAGTCTATGCAGTTCCAAATTGAATAATCAAAGTGCAGTAAACCAACGATGTAATGCACATAACTTTCATATATAACAATACAAAATATGCACTAAGTATTGTTAAGTTAATAAGGATTGTCCAGTTATCCACTAGTAGTGTCTTTATGTGCAACTAATACCTTAGCACAGGATAAGAAAGAGAAAAACTCGGAATTATCCAATAAATGTAGAGAAGTCTTATAATTGTCCATATCTCATATTCCCCTAGATTTGGGGACTTGTATTAGCATAATAAAGCATTTAATATCATCTCTACACATTCTTATAGACATCATATATATATAAGTTGGATTTAGCAAAATATACATAAAATGCAATTATTTTAATAGAATCTGATCAGTTACACAATAAAATATTGTTTTAGTATTAAAAATCACTTATATATCAAGAAAAACGCAAAAATATAAGATTTAGTGATTTTCCCCTAGATCTAGTAACTTGGACAAAAATACATAAGGTACATTGAGTTACCCATCTATATCATGATCAATGACTATTCAATAACTTGGATACGGAGTTTTCTCGCGATACGGTAGATGGCGCGTCGATGTCCGTTTGCCGCGTTTGTATTCCCGAGAGAGGAATATCACTCGGGAGAGAGTTTATAACCTCAATACTACAGAGTCACTTCGGCAATGCAGTAACCCCAAGGATGCACTTTTGGGTAATTATATTGTCACAGAAGCACCTAATAGGTGCAATGCGAGGTAATATCATTTAATTGTCTATACTAATAAAGATAATAGTTAAGATTCAAACTATGCAGCATATGCATGCTATATCAAATTTAGTTAATCCTTATTGTATTAACGTTGTTGTAAAATGTATTCCCCGAGGGTCCATCGCGTATCAGCAATACAGTAATAAGGAAAACACACTATCCACGTGAAATGGACAGTACGCATAACCTTCAAGAGGACATCATCACACACCGTCACATCACCAAACATCAAGGTTAGTCATTAATGGTACACTTATAAGTCCTCATATAATCAAATATATATTCTAGGCAATATAGAGTTTAATAAAAAAGTGTCAATTCACTGTGAGTCAATTAATTTTATATCTAGTTGTCACTTGAATAACTTGTGGCGGTTGGTGACACATACAGTCTCATAACTTTATCATATATTAATTTATTATTAAATAAATCATTTATTATATTTGTATGTTTCAGATACACATACATCAGCCCATAAATGCTATTAAAGTCACCAGATATCAAAGTTGTCACCGGATAAAAATACTATGACGCAGGACTAGCTGCGGAGAAAGTATTATTTATCCAAATTCAGTATGTTCAGTAATGTAAGTATTTCAGTATCAATTTAATAGTTGAAATTGTCTTATTATTATATTATTTAAGACCAGATGACTTGGTTATTTTAATGTCAATTTAAATATTCAAATTTAAATAATGAACTCTAATATTCGTTAATATGTAATTATATAAAATTCTATTTATCATGGCATATATTACTTTAGTTCACGCACTTAGAATGATTTTTATTTAAATTTTTAACTAGAAATATCAATGTTTTATATCTATTCACTATTATTGCAAGGTAAAACTGCATTATATATGACTACTTGATATGTTATGCAAATTGTTTATAGAATGTCACTTGCTAAATACTTATATTTTATGTTAACACTAGGAAACAACAGTCAAAAATATATAAAGTGCCACCAGTTGACTCAAATAGATCTCATAAAGCTGAGTATTGACGTATGGATACAGATGAAGAAAAATCACACACCTAGCACATCGTATGCACCAATAATGTAATGTAAGAATCTAACATTTATTAATGATCACTTGCAAGATGATTAGATCGTCCTATATAGTATGCAATAAATATCCTCAAAAATATTAGTTTTAGACTACTATAAGCAACAATTGAGTATTTGTTTGAAATTTAAAGTTTATGTTACCCATGATGTAAAGTTTTAGTTATATAAATTTGCACGATATATATAATACTATTTACTCAGCACTTATTTTGTTTATAAGTTTTGATATTATAGAGTTTTGTAGATAATCAACTTATAATTTCAGCATATATAATTACTATTTAATAAGACATCCTTTAATAATTGTTCATATACTAGATTCCTCACATATTTCACATTACTACGTTAAGTTTTTAATTAAACAATCAACTAAATGAATATTGTGTATAATGAGTGTATCATTGCTCCTAATAGGTTTATTACTTCAAAACAAACTACTTCGAATTATTATTAATGATAACCAAAATGTTTAAAGTTTATATCGTTAGATGATTAGTATTTAATATTTATGCAAAAAATTAATGCAATTTAATAAGGACCGTTTATCATTAGCACTTTTAACTCAGCTTAACGCACAATAAGTAATTGTTCCACTTATGTAAATCAATTGAGAAAAATTATAAACTCTGAGCATTACTAGCCAATGCTATTATAGAAACAGCTAATAACTATTAATATTTAATATAATGTAAAGTTACGTAACTTAAGTCTATATTGTTATTATTAAGTAAAAAAGTTTTACTGATTATTTATGAATTTATCACGTCACATATTTCTTTTTGGCTGTCTACGTATGATAAATGTTTTATATCAAGTCAATTATATGGTCATTATGGGTCTATAGAATTATCCTTAAGTAACTCCGTGTGCCCATATACAAACTTAAAAACGACCGCACAAAACACACATAATCCACTTATCTTTTGCAGGTCATCAGGATGGTAATAAATTGTCTCACGTGGACCACCAGCAGTTTCCAAGAGGCTTCATACACCACAGTCCCTCCGAGGAAGACCGGGTTGATGAGGCCGTGTTGCAGCGTCAAAGGGATGATATATCCACTCAATTATATATCACTATTTTATAATTAATTTGCACACATTGAATATCATATATTTTATATGTCAATTGTAATTATTGTCACTAAATGAGTTACAACTTACACACTAGTATAATAGTTTTTAGTTAATTTAGTAACGTAATACTAAATTCTCAGTATATCACAAGTTACAATATATCAGTTTACAAAGGATATTAATTTTATTTAAAATGTAACTAGTTAACTACCTTTTCACGGTATATCAAGTAAAGCAGCTAATCAATTAAAGATTCATATATTTTGAGACCCAATATTAGTTTATTTATTAATATCTCAAAAAACATAAAAAGTATATAGAAAGTATATTATACTACAATCACAGTCTTGTGTAGAATTAGCTAATAGCCAACCACTATATAATACTTATGCAAATATCTTATTGCATTTATAAGATGTCACTTGCAAATAATCCAGATTTTATAGATCACTTGCTTCAATAGAAAAGCTTTACTTATCTTGTAAATTAGAACTAAATTACTCACTAAATAATCTAAATATAGATCATTTATTCAGAGTACATATATGAAGACATATCTAAGTCTATAGAACTATAATTTATGATGAATGCTTATGCAAATCGCTATTCACTATGTTCCTATCTTAAGAATACAAACAGTCATCAGGATACAAGCATTTCCATGTATCAATACAATTCTTATAAGAATTTGTATATTTCGCAGAATACATGAAGAGGATAAATTATGCAATGCAGCCATCCACTAGCAACTCTGACACCCCATGAATAAGGATTCTTCTTCAATTATTGTATAAACAATCTTCTCAAGATAATTTTAAAGTCAAGAATCGCTCAGCTACAATAAGCACATCCAAATGCGTAAGTATAACAAGTTCACAATCATTAAAAATTACACAAAATATGTATTGTTGCGGAAACTCTTATTGATTTCTGCGATCATTAATTGAAAATCATATTCGAGAACGATTCTCGAATCTTCGTATTGTATGTGCGAGCTCAGGAATTTTGTTTGTCAGAAATTGGCTTTTGTTCTCGCTCTCTCGCCGAGACCTCGCCGAGGCACGGTGTTTGTGAGTCAGTCCGACGACGACCGGCAGCGAGAGATCACGCTCCGCTCCGATAATCAGTATCCATTATTCTGTGCTTCTGTACAATAAAATATGTGACGGTGCTTAGTGAACATCGGCTTTGCCTCTCTCCTTAACCGCCAATCTCAAGATCCCAAAAAACAATCCATAATTAAAAGCGTTCGCGATACGGAAAGAGAACGCAAGCTCACTCTCGATCAAGAGAACCACGCAACGTGCACAAAAAATCTCGCGAACATTTTTTTTGGTCCTTCGAGCCGGATTCTTGGCGTTATTGGACTGCAAGCTGAACCTTATCATATAGTACAGTGTACAGTGCAATTCTCAAAAAATTGCGGCATTACATAGTCGTCGGCATTATCTGAAACATTCCTCGGACTTCGCAAATCACGTGCGACCCACGCCAGTGAACACGTGCGCGCCCCATCTAGCCGTGCGCACAATCACACAGTGCCCACGTGAAACAACACTGGCGACAATACCAGTGCCCTACAGTGGCGATCAACACCTATCGTGCATGAAACAGTGCTCCGGAGCTGGCTATCTCTCAGTAAATGAGTATCACGATATTACACGCCATTCGGTGAGTGCTGTTGCACCGGAACAACAAATATTAAGCAAGTGAAGCGCCGCTGATCGGCCGCCGCATCCCTCGCTACCTGCGGTGCACTATCGCTTCCAATCAAATCAGTTGACTCTTATCTACGTTATTACAATGACAGAGTCCATTGATTTTCTGCTCACGGAACAATCATTCACCATCGACGCGATCAATCGCAGTTTGGTGAATGTCAAGAAGCTGTCCAAAGCACAGACAACTGTAATCAAACTGGAGAGCCGACTGAAGAAGCTTCACGATCAATGGTCATCGTGCAAGGCTATTCATGTGAGGATTCTGCATGCAGTCACGCCCAAGGAAAAAAGCGAACTTCCATACTTCGTCAAGGAGGAATTCTATGCTGCGGAAGAAACGTATGACGTCACCGTGGACCTGATCAACGAAGCCATCAAAAAGCTAAGTCCAACCCCTCCTACGCATAATACGAGCGATCGATCGTCTATTTTTGATTCCGACACGCGTCGTCCGATACATTTGCCGCGCATTTCATTGCCTAAATTCTCCGGCAAATTTACGGAGTGGGAAAATTTTAAAGGTATTTTCGAGTCATTAGTGACTAATAACGATTGTCTGTCAAATACAGAAAAATTACACTATTTAAAAACAAGTGTCACCGGTGACGCAGCGCGATTAATAGCGAATATTCGAATTGCGGATGAAAACTATGCTGCTACGTGGCAACTGCTAACCGACGAATACGACAATAAGTTTGCGATCATTCAATCTCACATCCATGCATTTGCGGAACTCCCGATAATGCGATCGGAAACCGCCGCGGAATTACGCCAACTTCGCGACTCAGTAGCAGCATCTCTCGCTGCTTTAGACAGCCTTGATCGGCCGGTCAAATCATGGGATGATTTACTCGTTTATTTGATATCACGCAAATTTAGTTCTAAAACTAAAACCGAATGGAATTTAAAATGTGGTAGCCTGTCGGAATGCCCGACTTATAAAGAAATTCATGATTTTATGACCGTACGCATCCGTGGACTGACCGATCAGGGCATGTCAATAGAAAATTCGGCGTCCAATTCTCGCAATGGAAAACCGCGCGGTACCGTCAATAATGTAATTACATTAAACTGCGTTGAATGTTCCGGAACTCATTGGCTTTCGAAATGCGATAAATTTCTCGCACGATCGATAGATCAACGAATTAATTTTATCGACCAGAAACAGTTGTGTCGAAATTGCTTCCGGAAAGGTCATTCCGCGAACGTCTGTATGTCACGAGGTCGATGCTTACGATGTCAGAAACGACATCACACGACATTACATAAATTATTTAAAGCCGAATCGAAGGATGACGCGTCTCAGCAATTACCCGACACGAAATCAGAGACACTCGTACAAAGGGCGTCTCCCGTCACAGCTACGGTACAATCCGTATCGCCGAAAACGCGCTCGCCTGCGAATATTCTCCTCGCTACTGCGTGGGTAATCGTGCGGACACAAGAAGGACGTACTACACTGGTGCGTGCCCTTCTGGATCAGGGATCCACATACAGCTTCATAAGCGAATCTTTATGTCAAACGTTGCGAACCAGGCGTCAACGCGCTAATCTGCAGATTCGATGCTTCGGGGAAAAATACAGCGGGTCGGCTCGCTCGCGGGTTCACATATCTCTCTCTCCAAGTTTCAATCCGCGAAAATCCGTCTCGTTATGGGCATACGCCTATGAAAAAATCACTTCATACGCTTCCTCTCAGATCCGGGAAATAAATTCATGGCCACATTTGCGCGGATTGCAACTTGCAGATCCTGATCCGTCGAGCGCCCACCAAATTCATTTACTAATCGGGGCCGATTTATACGGTGCTCTGCTAATCGGTGACATTCGTCATGGCCCGCCTGGGACCCCGACAGCGCAGTCCACTCTGTTCGGCTGGATACTCTCCGGACCAACAGGCCCCACGGATGCAACTCATCCTCCGGCTGACGTTCACAATTGCGTCGTTGAAGACGACCTCGCTCCCGTCATCCAACAATTCTGGACAGACGAGACAATTTCTGATTCCAAGCCTCCGCTAACGGAGGACGAACAACGTTGTGAGCAACATTTTGCTGCAACTCACAAGCGCGACGTACATGGCCGCTACGTGGTACGATTGCCGTTTAAGAATGGCTCACCGCCGAGTATAGGTGAATCATTTCAAATCACTTCAGTGCTTCACGCCAAATTAACAGATCGGCTGTCACGACAGTCTGAAATTAGAACGCTCTATCATGCGTTTTTAGCAGATTACGAGGAGCTGGGTCACATGACCCAGATCAAACCCTCCACTTCTAATCTTTCGGACGCGGCTTACATACCGCATCATGCTGTCCTTCGCGAACACAGTACCACCACGAAACTACGCGTGGTGTTCAATGCTTCCTGCCGTACATCAAACGGCACTTCATTAAACGACCATCTTATGATCGGTCCAAAACTCCAACAAGATTTAGCCGCAATAGTTCTTCGCTGGCGATTATTTCAATACGTGTACACAGCTGACATAGCGAAAATGTACAGACAAATCTCGGTCCATCATGAAGATCGAGATTATCAGCGAATACTGTGGCAACCCCCGGGTTGTGCACATATCAATCACTACCAATTAAATACCGTTACATACGGCACCGCTTGTGCTCCATATTTAGCCATGCGCGTATTGCAACAACTAAACGAGGATGACGGGCACGAGTTCCCCCTCGCACAAACGATTTTTCGCGACTCAATCTACGTTGATGATACTCTCTTCGGCGCGGATGAAATCTCCGACGCCATCAAAACTCGAGATCAACTCATTGCGCTCATGAAGCGTGGCCAGTTTGATCTACGCAAATGGACTGCAAACTCTTCGGAGTTGCTGGCAGACATTCCGCTTGATAGGCGGCAATCGGATCTCGCTATTAAAAGCGATGACTCACTGAAGGTGCTTGGGCTGTCTTGGTCGCCGCACACTGATTCATTCTGTTTTAAGGTATCTTCTGGCACCTCTGGTGCGAACACAAAACGCTCAGTCTTGTCGTTGATTGCAAAGCTATACGACCCACTCGGATGGGCGTCGCCCGTAGTAATTACGGCTAAAATTTTGCTTCAAGAGCTCTGGCTCGCAAAAATCGACTGGGACGATCCGCTCCCCCCTGATCTTCTCCAGCACTGGATTTCATACTATTCTGATTTACCCAAGCTCGAAACAATTAAAATTCCACGATGGACAGGTTCGCATCGAGATAATTTAGGAATGGAACTACATGGTTTTGCCGACGCATCAAAGCGTGCGTACGCCGCTATGGTGTATTTGCGCGTTCTCAGATCCTTTGACGACGTTCAGATTACGTTGCTATGCGCTAAAACCAAGGTTGCGCCTCTTAAGACGCTCAGTATCCCTAGACTTGAACTCAACGCAGCAGTTTTACTCAGTCGACTGATTAAATGGATTTATCGGTCTTTCAATCTGTCAAACGTTCCTGTGTACGGTTGGACGGACTCCACTGTTACCCTAGCTTGGATAACTCAACACCCTTCAAGGTGGCGTACTTATGTCGCCACTCGCGTATCGGAAATCCAAACCACTCTTCCCACAATTAAATGGCATCATGTCAAATCAGCTGAGAATCCGGCAGATTGCGCCTCGCGCGGCTTGTCTGCTACCGAATTTATGAATCACTCTTTGTGGTTTTCTGGACCGTCCTGGCTCCGCACTCATTCTTCGACGTGGCCAATTCAATCGACAAGCAAAGACATATCGATTAACGCTTTACTGGAGGAATCCTCCTCGGCGTCGGTGCATCTTACCGACAATGTCACTACATGGAATCTCCCGAACGACATTTCAACATGGACAAAATTGATACGGGTTACAGCATATCTATTTCGATTTGTAACCAATTTACGCAACCGATTACAGGGGACTTCATTGAATCTTTCGTCTTTAGAAGCGGCCGAACTCCATCATGCCGAACACTTTTGGCTTGAACAAGTTCAACGCCAACTGTTTTCTTCAGAATTGTCAGCGTTAAAACGAAAAGTTTCTATTTCAAAATCAAGCCGACTAAGCTCGTTACGCCCATTTCTTGGGCAAGATCAATTAATACATCTAGGTGGGCGGTTGAAGAACGCTCTGTTGCCCTATTCGGAATGTCACCCGATCATTCTGGCTGATCATCGAATCGTACAGTTGCTGATTGCTAATGCACATACGGCCGCCCTTCATGGCGGCACTCAGTTAACGCTTCGCATATTACGGCAACGTTATTGGATAATTTCCGCTCGTTCTCAGGTTAGAAAGTACATTCGAAGCTGCATTACTTGTGAGCGGCACCGAGCCGTCACCGCAGACCAACTCATGGGTCAATTGCCCGAACACAGAGTTGCGCCGTCCGCATCGTTCACCTGCACCGGCGTTGATTATGCCGGACCAATACCCTTGACCTTGCGGGCAGCGCGCGGTCAAAAGACCATGAAGCACTACATTGCAATTTTTGTATGCTTCACTACTAAGGCAATTCATCTCGAATGTGTAGATGATTACTCGACAGAAGGTTTTCTCGCTGCCCTGTCTCGCTTTACAAGTCGACGTGGGCTTCCATCCCACATTTACAGTGATAACGGCACGAACTTCATAGGTGCCGACAAGGAGCTGCGAAATGCTTTCCGCGTTATTATTCAGGATCCTATTCTGAAAAGTCAAATTGCCAATGACCGCATTACCTGGCACTTCAACCCTCCGGCAGCACCGCACTTCGGCGGGGTATGGGAAGCCAATGTAAAAAACGTGAAGTATCACTTGAAACGCGTAATCGGTACGCATGTGCTAACTCGTGTCGAATTTCAAACTTTATTATGCAGAATCGAAGCGTGCCTAAATTCAAGGCCATTGACGCCAATGTCGGATGATGCTTCGGACTTTACCGCGTTGACGCCTGGTCATTTTCTGATCGGTCGACCGCTCGTCAGCGTTCCCGAACAATCTGTATCAACGATACATCTTAACGCACTTAGCAGATGGCAGCTTGTGCAGAGACTGCACGAGCAGTTTTGGCATACATGGTCTCACGACTATTTGCATTCCCTCCAGCAGCGAAGCAAATGGCGTGACTCCAAGCAGAATCTCGCGATTAATGATTTTGTTTTAATAAAAAATAACGTACTCCCTCCTGCAAAATGGAACCTTGGTCGAATCGTCCAAGTGCACCCAGGCGCGGATGGTCTCGTTCGCGTAGTAACTGTTCGTACAGCAACCAGCTTACTTCAGCGCCCTATTACTCAACTATGCAAGCTGCCAATTGCTAACTGTGATTCTTTATCGCGCTCTACGACTCAGTCGATTTCTGTAAAATAAACAACACTATGCGCATTGTATATTCTTTAGGTTTAAGCATTGCGGCAATTGGGTCAAGCTAATGTTAAAGCTCTATTATTGGATTGAGTCAATTGATTATCCATGTATAATAAAGTTACGAGACCACGGTTCTGAGCAAGGTTCTCTGCCATTTCGGTACTCATTTCGCATGCGGATGCATGCAAAGCGGGCGGTATGTTGCGGAAACTCTTATTGATTTCTGCGATCATTAATTGAAAATCATATTCGAGAACGATTCTCGAATCTTCGTATTGTATGTGCGAGCTCAGGAATTTTGTTTGTCAGAAATTGGCTTTTGTTCTCGCTCTCTCGCCGAGACCTCGCCGAGGCACGGTGTTTGTGAGTCAGTCCGACGACGACCGGCAGCGAGAGATCACGCTCCGCTCCGATAATCAGTATCCATTATTCTGTGCTTCTGTACAATAAAATACGTGACGGTGCTTAGTGAACATCGGCTTTGCCTCTCTCCTTAACCGCCAATCTCAAGATCCCAAAAAACAATCCATAATTAAAAGCGTTCGCGATACGGAAAGAGAACGCAAGCTCACTCTCGATCAAGAGAACCACGCAACGTGCACAAAAAATCTCGCGAACATGTATATATATATATATATTCCTCTTCGTCAAAAATTTAGTAACAAGCACTAAACTAATATTAGATTTCTGCTTATTATTACAGATAAGAGAGGCAGTCAGACGTAGTTTAATGAAAACATCCATATAAAAAGAGGGCACTAAGATGTTATATCAATGGCAGTGCACACATTACATATAGAAGAACATGTAGCAATATTCGTAAGTCTATTAAATATTGACACCAATACCAGCCTATTTTACTCAAGTATGTAGAATCAATATTTGATTTAGTAATAAAACCAGAATCAATACTAAGGTTTATTCTCATCTATTACAGATGAAAGAAGCAGTTACTTCTTCACACAGCGAGAGTACAGCAGCAAAGTACAAACAGCTCACCACAATGATAGTGTATGAAATAAAAGGAGCACTCATACCCTGTCTAATTTATACAATATATATCGATAATTACAGTAAATTTCTCAATTCAGTCTAACTTATGTATATTCTATTATTGTCAATCAGTTGAGTAAAGACACTATATGTTAACACTTAGTACTTTATATTGTGTTTCCTGCTTATTGCGTTCATAAAGTTATAACGTCTTAATTTATCTATATTAATAGTTTATTACCTAATAGATATCCGAAGTTTATTAGATTGCAACATCTATCAAACTTAGTTAGAATAGGCAATTTCAATGAATTTTCTTTATAATTCAACACGATTCAATTAAATACTATCTATATTTAAGTGTTTATCAATTAGTTAGTTAAAACACTATATAATAACACTTAGTTAATTATTATTACATACACTGTTTATTTAGTTTATAGGGCTGCTATTTAGTAACTCAATATTTATTATTTAATTAATTAAATCACTGTGTAGAACTTAATTATTCAATATCATGTTCAATATTCATATAGCTTATTATTAAATTATTATTTAACGATTCAATCAACCAAAGTTGATTATTTATTAATCAATAACTGTCCGAAGTCTAATTTTATTAATAGTATTTAATAAATCATTTAATATATGACTTGAAAATACGCGGTTTAACAGCGTCAGCCAATTATAGATTGCCAGCAGGCAGCAAGCAAGCTGCCAATTCACCTAAGCACGCGCGCACTGCGCAGAACATATGCGCCGTATAACTTCAACGCCACGTGTTGATTTTATAATATCATCAAATTAAGTCAAATTTAACAAATGACAGTTTATACATAAACTCAGTTAGTATGACTATAATTTCAGTGTTTATAAGTCAGAGAAAAAATGTTAATATCACTAATTATCAATTTAAAATAGCGCATTTCAAATGATTATAGCCATAAGTAACCAGGCCAATGATATGCCGCCAACAACTGTAGAGGCAATGTAGCCAACACACAGTTGAACACGCGAGCGCATTAATCTAGAGAGAATATTTACTGATTTTATAAAGTGAATTTAACAATAATTGAGATAATTTCAGCAATTCTCAGTCACTAGATAACTTCTTACAATTATAAAGAGCTCATATAAAATGTTCACTTTACCGTAGAAATACAAGGTCAAATTGTTGGAGGCCCCAAAGATGTTTGACAGGTTTGCCCCAAGTGGGACAAGGATAACGATAATCTGAGATTGTAACTGCCTTTTATAAATAAACTAAAGAGTTTTCACTGTCAGAGTTTTTACACAAGCTAACAAATAGGCATAGAAATACATTAAAAATATATTCCCACGTGAGAAAAGTATATAACACCGTGAATATAAACTTTTACTCCAGATCCATTGGAGCGAGAGACAGCGACAGTCAGAGATGAAAACTATTGTTTTTAACAGAATTAAACAATTCTGTCACTGCAAACTTTCACAGGCACTACTTAATGTTAGTAAAAATATATTAAAAATATTTTCCCACATGTAGTAATTGTCTAAGGGCCAGAATATGTATTTCTGACATAAGTCTATTAGTGCGAGAGAGACATAGATAGCCTCAACACAATTTCACTTATTTTATCTAAAATAGGTTATATAAATGTCTAAGATTTATATATATGATCAAGTTCAATACAACAAACAATCTGGCAATACAAAAGACCAGTTCAAATGCACTTTTAAGTCACATGTCAAGTGTTTAACTACCTGTCAAAAATCACCAGACAAGCAGAGCACGTGTGAATACTTTAGAGGCTTATTTTAAACAAACTAATTGTTTAAGCGACTTGCCTCCATTTGCCATTAATCTTGGCACCACAAACAATAATCCAGTAATGTTTTTTGCACTCAGAATGCACTTAGAACCACTTTTATACGTACTACTGTACGGAGCGTACTCAGTGCAAGTGCACCGAGAAGATAGTCTCTCGACGGACAACAACCTTTTTTTTTTTTTTTGATTTAGCGATACGGCGCTAGGCAGGGGAATCCATCTTACGGATACCGATGGGGCCGTCCCCATACGGTTATGTGGTGACTCCTCCGGTCGTAACCCCGCGTCCCGCGTGGTTGGTCGGAGCTAGCCTCCGATCCCCCACGCGTGACGGACAGGTCGCGACCGGCCTTACCCACTAAACCCCTGCCCTTGACCAGAAGGCATTCCTCCTTCCTGGTCTATGTTGAGTCCGGGAGAACTGCTGTCGGCATTACTTTCCCGGGCCCAACCCAGCTTCGCATTTCTGCGATATCTTCCTTCGGCATTCTCTCTGTTACGCATGTGTATATATCATCATACACACATGTGCATTCATTCTTAGGTGTATCCATCCATTCATTCACACACCACCTGCACACTCGTACACGAATCCACACCCTAAGGGTGAACATTCGCACACTTATATCACGCATGCAGGAAATGTGTTTCCAATGACTAATCTACATAAGAGTCTATTTACATATTTACAATTATGTACCTATATATTATTGCACATTTACTACATTTATTGTTAGCATTGTGCACTTCCCTGAGTCATCCGCAGACTATGCGTCACCGCTATCAGAGATGGCGCACTTCTGCAGTCCATTTAGAGGCGTATCTAGGTTCGCACATACCCATACACATACACACACACCCACGCACGCACACACATACCCACACATACCCACGCACACACACGCACACGACACACCCATACATACACTTATTATCCTAGACCGCTTCCACAAAATCTACATATTTACATGTGATCTTTTTCGTCTTAAGCTACACTTAACCTATATTATAGTTGAGTCATCTCTATGTGCCACTTCCTTATTGTGACGATGCTCTGGAAGTGTCGGCCTCTTCTTCCTCGTCGGATTCGGGTGGGATTAGCGCCTCATGCGCTTGTCTTTCCCTTTCCCGATTTTCCTTGGTGAGCATAACTGACTCGGAGAATTGAGTCATTGCTCCCCAGGCTGTCTTTTCTAGAGTGATGGCCTTCACTACTGAATCCAGACTCAGATCGTTGCCGATGATGGTCCTTAGGGCTTCCCTCTCTGTGTCCCACGCCTTGCATTCTTGCAGGGTGTGTTCAGCAGTATCCACCTTATTCTCGGGACAGTGTTCGCATACTGGCGAGCCTATCTTTCCTATTCTATACAGATAGGAAGCAAAACAACCATGACCCGTTAATAGTTGGGTCAGATGGAAGGTCATTCCTCCGTGTCTTCTGTCCAACCATGCGATGAAACTAGGCAGGACGGCATCTCTGGTGCGTACACCAGCTATCATGGGTCTTTGGAGGTATATCTCCCATTGTCGTCTAGTGATCAGTGCTTCGGATGCTCTGATCTCTTGGGCTGCTGCTAGGCACCAGTCACCTTGAGATTTCAAGTCTAAGGTTCTTGTGTAGACTCGTTTCCTCATTGCTGCCATGAGATGGAGGGGTGGTATTCTCGCTAGGAGTGACGCCGCGTCCAAGGAAACCGTCCTGTACGCTGAAATCACTCTCAGATTGGTGATTTTCATCAGCCTATCGAGTTTTTCTCGATTACGCCTTGCCGTGATTAAAGCGTCGCACCATATTGGTGCACCGTATAAGATTATAGATGTTATCACATTAGCGTAGAGTCTTCTCTTGGCCTCTTTAGGACCACGCAAGTTAGGCATGAGTCTGCCCAGAGCTCTAGTTACTTTGGATACTTTTGTCTCTACGTACTCGAAATGATCTTTAAATGACATCCTGCTATCGAGAATAATGCCAAGGTACTTCATTGATGTTTTGGTAGGGATGATCTTATTACCAATTGTAACACATGGTTGTTGGACAGGCTTTTTCCTGCCATGGAACGTTACTGCCTCAGTTTTGTTTACTGAGACCGTTAATCCAAGTCGATTTATCCTGTTGAGAATTAATGCCGTCTGTGTGTTTGCTCTAGCGATAGCTGTAGAGATCGTGTCAGCAGTAGCGAGGATAAGGGTATCGTCCGCGTAGCAGACGATACGACATCCGTACTCGCACCCTTCTTGGAGAACGCTGTCATATCCTATATTCCATAGGGTAGGGCCTAACACCGAGCCCTGAGGTACTCCAGCCGTCATTGGTTTAGTGACGGTTTTTCCTTGTCTATCTATGAATTCGACGGCTCTATGATGAAGGTAACTGTCGATAATACGTCGTAAATATTCCGGAAAGCATTTTTGTTTCAGGGCTTCTCTGATAGCAGGCCATGGAAGCGAATTAAAGGCATTGCTGATATCGAGACTTATCGCGATAACTACACCGCCTTGATCAATTGCCTCTTCGATAGCTGACTGTACTCTTCCTAAAGCATCACACGTTGATCTTCCTTCTTTGAAGCCAAATTGGTCTTCCGAGAGTTGGTGTCTAGGGTTTTCTTTCATCCAACGGTAAAGCCGGTCCACGATTATCTTCTCAAAGACTTTGCCTAGCTCATCTAGAAGGCATATCGGGCGAACCCTAGGCATCTCCTCTATTGTGTCATTCCCACCTTTAGGTATTAGGACTAGAATAGCTCGTTTCCATCGGTTAGGGAAGACGCCTTCCTTGAGACACGTGTTGAAACAATCGACAATATTGAAGATCATTTCTCCTGAAAGCTTTCCCAGAATTTTGGTAACGATCACATCCGGGCCTGGAGCAGTGTTACTACCAGCTTTGCGTTTGATAGTCTCGAAAACCTCTCGACCAGTTATGAGGCATTCTTCGCCTGCATTCCATTGCCAGTTCCTCCAGATTTCTGCAGGGTTGGATTCCACGCCGCATGGGAATAGAGACTCCAGGAGGGTCTCGGTTACATCTTTATTTAGAGTCTCGGTTAGGCTTGGAGATGATCTTCTTAGTCTATTCAGCACAATCTTGTAGGGTAGTCCCCAGGGGTCGTCTTCGATTGTCTGAATTAATTCTTGCCAAGCTTGATACTTGGCTTTGCTGATCTCGCGTTTTAGAGTCCTTCTGGCGTCTCTATACTCTGCTCTGAGAGATTCTGTCTCTTCCAGGGGTCTTTTGCTTTGTTTGGCTTTAGACCAGGCTCTTCGTGTCGTTATCGAGGCCTTTCTATGGCTCTCGATTTCTGAGTTCCACCAGAACGTTTGCATTTTTGGTGGGCGTTTTTTGACCCTACTGGTTCCAACGTCACAGGCTTGATGAATCGTACGTTCTATACGTCTTGCCTTTTGTTCAGCTGATTCTTCTGGGTCTTGATTACTATCCTTGGGACAGTTCCAAAGCAGAGCAGCTCGGAATTTGTCTATGTCGAGCTTCTTGATATTCCATCTTGGATATCTTAGCGCCTTAAGGTCTTTGTGACTCTTGTCTGTGCTTCCGTCTGTGCGGCCAATCGTCATTTGTATGTATTCATGATCGGATAGTGATTCGATATCACGCATAACTTGCCAATCATTGATAGTGCTGCATATGTCAGCAGTTGACCAAGAGAGGTCGATGATTGACCATCCTTGAGGTCTGATGCACGTTGGGAGTCTACCCGTGTTGATCAGCCTCAGATCGTGTTCCGCAGCCCACTCATCTACCAGCTCTCCTCTTCGGTCAGTGTAACGCGATTCCCAATGTGAGGACTTCGCATTGAAGTCTCCACATATAAGGGTTTTTCCGCCTAATACTCTGATTGCCACACTGAGCTCATCAAGAAAGGTAAGAAAATCTTCCCGAGAGCAGTTTGGGGAAATATAGCATGATATGATGTTAATATTCCCATGCTCCACCACTACGAAATCTCTAGCCGTATAGACCAGGGAACAGGTTTGGAATATGCCTGTCGGTCTCCAGTGAATTGCAGCCAATTTGTTGCCACTACCATACCAGAAAATACTATTTGGAACGTTACGAGGTTCCGATACTGCACAAACAGCGACATTTAACTCTGCCATGTGCTGTTCTAGCAGATTTTGGGCTTGCCATCCTCTTCCTAGATTACACTGCAGAATCTTACATATCATTGTCGGTTTCTATTTCTACCGGCCTCCGTTCCAGTTTGTTAGACGAGCCGGGGACAGGCTTCGGGTTCGTTTTGAAATCTGCCTTGCATTGGTTAGATCCAACTCTGTGGTTGGGATCTTTCCCTTGCTCCACACATAGAATACATCTGATCGGGTTTTGACAGTTCAGTGCAGGGTGGTTCTCTCCTCCGCATCTGAAGCAGGTCTTGCTCCTGTCAGCGACAGATGTACATTTGTTCCTTAGATGGCCGTGTCCCCAGCATTTATAACACTGGGTCGGTCTGGCTTTGAGGAGCTCTATTCGGGCTATCGTCCAGCCAATCTTAATTTTGTTCTTTTGGGTTGCCTTAATAGCAGCCGCAAGAGGACACTGAGCCCACACTGTAAATAATCCGTTGGACATGGGTCGAATTATGCCAACTTTGACCTCGTCAGATTTACAATCTCCCGCTGTGGCGATCACATCAGCTACTTCATCAGCGACGACCGAGTCGTCTATTCCGATTATTCTTACTTCGCCTTTCACGACTGGTCTTGTAACTACTGCCGTTTCACCTAGTACTCCGGCAACTTTCTCTTTTAAGGCCTCTGATAGCTTTATCTTTACCAGGCACTTCAATTACAATGCCTCCGTTTGCAGTGTGTCTAATGGATGATTTGTCAATCTGCAAATCACCGAGAGAGATTTCTTCTCTAAGCTTCTTAAAAGCGGCTGCATAGGAGAAGCCCTCCGCTATTCCTTTTATCGCAACAGCTGCTGTTTTAGGGGGTCTTCTTTTCTTGTTGTGGTTGCCTTCCTTTAGTTTAGCAGCAGCAACCTTTTGATTGATGGGGGCGGTCTGCTTATCCTTCTTTTTTTTTGTCGTTTGTCTTTTTAGATTCGACCTGTTGCCAGACCTCCTCATTCTGACCAACTACCTCCATAGGTTCGCTAATATGTGAATCTAATGACTTTTGGGTCATCATCTTTCCTTTAGGAGCAACGATCTGGATGTTGCTGGTTATCCTGGGTTTATTTGCTAATCCTAGTGAGGACTGGACTGGGACGGTTACTGGAGCAGGACTTTGTTCCTGCTCTTTAAGAGATTGTCTCAGTTCCCTCTTCCTCGAGGTCAGCTCTACAATACGACGAGACAACTCCGCATCAACATCATGATACTCTCTCAATGAGCTTCTTTCTACTGCCGGAATCGGTACTGAGACACCTTTAAGTGGGGGTCTCATGACTACATCTGTAAATTGCACGTTAGCTGCATTTACACTGGAATTTGTAGGTGTATCCTTCCTTTCCTTAGATTTGGATTTAGATTTGGATTTGGAGCTCTTGCAGGGAATCTCTATCGGGGAGGTTGCCTTCTCAGCTTTCTCAGTAGCTCGGCCTCCTTCTATTGCTCTTTTAAGATCGCCAACTATATATTGAAGATCTTGTACATCGCGTCTTAGTTTGGCGGTTTCTCTTTTTGATGAGGCTAGTTCGGCGGCTAGCTCTGTGTTTCTTCTTCTTAGATAGCTAGGATCGCCGGCATCTTCGATTTTTTCGCCAAAGACTCTAAGAATTTCTTTGATCACACCGACTCTTTTTCTTATTTGACCACTAAGGGCACCTTGATAGTTGCTATTCGCCCTAATGATCTCAATGTCATCTAGCCATTCAATGGCCGACGCTCTTATTTGAGAGACCGGGGCGATGTTTAGCTTGTCCACATTTTCCGGGAGAGGACGAAGCCGTTGTTCGATCGTTGGTTCGTCCACGCTTCTCTTCTTTCTCCCAGGTTTCTTGGGAGGTTTCCTAACACCCCTGATTTCCGCCTCGGAGCATGACTGCGATTGCGGTTCAGAGTCCGTGTTCACATTCATAATGTTCCAAGTGATCGCCATTGAACCACGCGTGATCCTTTTATTAATCGATTCTTCGTCCGTGTCAACGCATGGGATTTTGCTCATTTGTGAGGTCAGGTCATCTGTATCACTGTCCCGTTCCGTCTTCTTTCTTTTTCCCCGAACTTGAGCCGAGGTGGATGCCACTGAGGTGTTGTCCATCTCAACCTCCAGAAGGCGACACTCTCCCCCCCCGCGAATTGCATTGTGCGGGGGTCCTCGCGGTTGCGACACAGGGCGGTATCGACCCCACGTCGCGCCCTCTCAAAGAGTTTGGAAGGCGGGGTCGCGGCTCGAGTATCCCGCTCGAGCCGCCACCCCCCGCCTCCGGAGCGGTGCTCCCTCCCCCTCCCGAAGGGAATGGGGATTCGGCATTCGCCCCGGAGGCCCTCTCCAGAGGGTTCCTCTCAGAAGGAGAGGAACCCCCTCCGTGGACGGCGTTGCCCTCCCACCGGTGCCTTGTGGCTCCCGGTGAGAGGGCCCCGCGCGTCACGTCTCCGTCATAGAGGGGGGCCCAGGCGCCCCAAAGGACGCGTGGCCTCCCCTCGGTCCCCCCCGATTACGGCTCCCTCCGCTCCCTTTGGGAGTTAGGATTCGGCCGCAATCGGGGGGTTTCCCGTTCGGGGGCGCGGCCGCGCCCACCTCGCCTAGGCAAGGCGGCGCACCCACGCCCCCGATTCTCGAGAGGTCTTAGGGGGGGAGTCCGAGGACTTAATTGTCCCCGACCCTCCCCCGGCAACCTCATCCCGCGTCATATGGCGCGGGTGTAAAAATGGCGGACCCTCCCCGCCCCCCGCCACCACGGGAGAGTGATCTCCCCAACGGCGGGGAAAGAGAGGGCCCACCCCCTCCTCCGCGACTGCCTCCTGCATCGCTGGGGGCGAGCCCCCCCCCGATTCCCGCCACCACAGACGAGCGAACTCGCCGATGGCGGGAAAAGAGGGGGCCCGTCCCCGCTCCTGTCATCTCTATTTCCACCAGGAGCGCGCCCCCCCCCCGATTCCCGCCACCACAAACCAGCGAGCTCGCCGATGGCGGGAAAAGAGGGTGTTCGTCCCCGTTTCCACCGTCTCTGCTTCCATCGGGGGCGCGCCCTCCCCGATTCCCACCACCACAAACGAGCAAGCTCGCCGGTGGCGGGAAAAGAGGGGGCCCGTCCCCTTCCTCCTCGTCTTCCTCCTCCTCGTCCGAGGGCTGGGAGTTGCCTCTCCCAGCCCTCTCCCTCTCTCTCTCTGCCTCCTCCTTCTGCGACATAACTCTCTCGCAGAAGGAGGAGAACGCCTTCCAAACCTCCTCTCTCGCCACCATCTCCTTTACTAGAGATGGCAGCGAGAGATCTCCCCCCCCAATTGCTGCCTTCAAATCTTCTCTCTCCTCCGTCCAGGCCACACACTCCTGGAGCGTGTGGCCGGCGGTATCCCTCCTATCGCTGCAATGGTGGCAGCGTGTCGTGCGCTCCTTCTTGATGCGACACAGGTACTCACCGAAGCATCCGTGCCCGGTGAGCACCTGTGTCATTCGGTAAGTAACACCCCCCTTGACCCTGCCTAGCCATTGTTCCAGGCAGGGCCGGATGGCCCCGACGGTTTACTGCCCCGGCAGTTGCGGGTTTTGCAACATGCCGGACCAGCTTTCTATTAATTGCCGTCGGGTGTGGGTCCTCAGTGTACGCCGGACACCTGCTGTGACGGCCGTTCCCTGCCTCTGTAGCCCGCGTGTACGCCTGTATACTTCAGCGTACATGCGGGCTAATAACTCTATAGGGGGTACTCCTGAGAGTACCCCCACGGCCGTCCAGCTTACCGTACGGAACCCCCGGCATATACGGTTGGCCACCCGCCTTTGCAGCTGATGCAACGCATCTCTGAGTTTGCGGGTGGCCTCTACCTTTTCTGCCCATACGGGGGCTCCGTACATAACCATAGAATGTATGGTTTCGGCGTAAAGTCGGCGAACCCTTCCGTCAGGTCCCCCGAGGTTTGGCAGCAGGCGGCATAAAGCCATCGCTGCCTTGTTTACCCTTGGGGTCAGCTGGCGGAAGTGCTCGCCGAAGGCCCACTTGCCATCCAGGTGGAGACCCAGGTATTTAATTCGGGTCCCCACCTTTATTGGGGTGTTTCCCACCATTATCTGGGCTTTAGGAGGCGCCCCATGAGAGCCGTCATGGAAGAAGACGGCCTCTGTTTTCTGGGGCGCCACCTTCAGCCCAATTCCTCCTATAGTGCGCACGACACGCGCCACCGCAATATTCGCACGCGCCACTGCTTCCCCCCAAGTGTCCCCCCCGGCCATGATTAGCGTGTCATCTGCATAGCAGATGACGTCACAGCCAGGGGGAAGGGCAGTCCTCAGGGTCACGTCGTAGGCAAGGTTCCACATGAGGGGGCCTAGAACTGACCCCTGTGGAACCCCGCACGACACCTCGACCCTGCACTCCTCGGCGTTCTGGTCTACGTAGACCAGACTTCTGTCCCGGAAGTAGTCCGACACGACTGACACCAGGTAGGGGGGTATCCTGTGATATTTCAGGGCATCCCCCACCCGGTGCCAAGGCAGGGTGTTGAAGGCATTTGAAATGTCCAAAGAGACTGCCAGCAACACCCCGCCTTCCCTCACGACGGCCTCCGAGACGGAGCGGACACGCAAGATTGCGTCAACGGTTGACCGCCCGGCCCGAAAGCCGTACTGTCTGTCGTCTAGGTTTGGACCATCCCGGGACAGGTGATGGACGAGGCGGGCAGCGATGATTCTTTCCAGAATCTTTCCCGCCTCGTCCAACAGGCATATTGGCCTGTACGCCGAGGGCGAATCCCTAGGTTTCCCTTCCTTAGGGATTAGGACTATAGATGCCCTTTTCCACTCGCGGGGGAAGGAGCCCTCCTTGAGGCACCCGTTGTACAGGCGCCTCATGGGCTCGACCAACTCCTTGGAGGCGAGGGCCCAGATTCTTCCGTGGATGCCGTCAAGTCCAGGGGCTTTCCCCTTCTTGATCCTCTTGACGGCATCCCGGATTTCTCCTCCCGTGACCCCCATTTCTGTCTCATCCCAGTCCTGCTCCCCCGCCTGTATCGGGTTTTGTGTGCCCGACGCCCGGGGGAACAGGACCTCTATGATATTTTTTACGAGATGGGGGTCCAACGACTCCGTTAGTGGTGCCGTCCCTCCTCTCAATTTGTTGAGAACTATTTTATAGGGACGGCCCCACGGGTCATCGTCTAGGGAGGAGATTAGTTCCTCCCAGGCCCTCGCCTTCGCCTGTTGGATGGAGGCGCGTAGGTCGTCTTTTCTATGTTTATAGGCGTCCCACGCGTCCTCCAATCCTTCTGCGTCCAGTAGCGGTGCTTCTTCCTCCTTTTTATTTCCCTCCTTGCGTGGTCGGTGGACCGCCTCAGCTCGGCGATGTCCTCCGACCACCAGTACGCATGCTTCGGGGACCGGGTTTTGACCTTGGGCATGGCTACGTCGCATGCTTGGGTTACGACGCTTGTTAGCCATGCCCTATGCTCTTCTAGGTCCCCAGTCCCC